TGGTTTAAAATTTTAACTTCATTGATGTGTGGTTTCTAAAACATGCTTTTTAAAACTGAAGTCTAGTCAGTTTACAATGTTGTATCAATTTCTGGTGTACAGCATCATGTTTCAGTCATACATAGACGTACATATATTCATTTTCTAGGAATATATTCTTATACCTATAATTTATTCCATGTTGTGGACAGATGCACCTTTAATTATTTAAGCCTACTTCTACTGTGGACACATAGATTCTTTCTATTTTTCGGGCAGTATATGTGATACAACAATGAACATCCTTACACTTAAATCTTTGACGACATTTCTGGTTATAAGATCTACATTCCTAGGAATTTAGTTAGTAGGTCAAAGTTTATGAATCTTTTTGGCAGCTGATGCATATTGTCAAATTGTTTGCAAGAAAAGGGTGCAAAAATATAACACTCAGAGGCAGGAAATCTCAGTATCTGGCACTGGAGAAATCTGGGTCAGGTCCTACCTTTCCTGTTTACTAGTTGAGTGACCCAAGACAACTTAATTTTCCTGAGCCACAGCTTCTTCGTCTGGAAATGAGAACAAGTATCTGATGGGGCTGCTGTAGAGAGGAAAATAAGATCTTTGATTATGGATGAACTGGACTACACAGGCCAAGTATTTAGCACAGTGCCTGACATCCATCAAGCATTCACATGTTTGTTATTCTTCTTCTTACCACCAGCAGATGAGAATGTCAGTCTCAATGAAGAGTCAAGAGCCCTGGATAGTACTGTTTAAAAATAAAAATGTGCCAATTTGACATGTAAAAGACGCTGTCTTGTTTTAATGCCTGTCTTTGATTTCCAGTTCTGTTGAACATTTATCATTCATTTTTGAATTTTTAAATTCCTTCTTCTGTGTACTCTGTTTATATTCTTTGTCTATTTTTTTCCTACATAACTTTAGTTTTTTAAAATGCATATCCAAAAGTTCTTTATTAGGAATACAAATCTTTTGTTGTCGTAATTCCTGCAAATATATCCATTAGTATTTTGGGTTTTTCCAATGTCAGTTCTTAGACATTACTTTGACATAGAGTTTAACACTTTATGTAATCAAATATTTTCCTTTTGAGATTACTTCAGTAGAGTTTTTAAATCTTTATGAATACTTCACTATTTCAAAATTCAATTATGTGCTCATCCATGTTATGTTAGTATATTGGGGGCATATATCTTACAGATAGAAAAGTGCACTGATCGTAAGTTCACAGCTCGAAGAATTTCCACAAAATGGACATATGCACTGTATTGTTTGCCAGGGCTTCCATAACAAAGTACCACGAACTACACAGAAACCTACTGTCTGACATTCTAGAGACTTTTGAGAAGCCTAGTGTCAAAGCGTCAGCAGGGCTGGCTCCTGCTGGAGGCTGTGAGGGGGAATCCGTCTCCCTGGCTTCTGGTGGTTGCTGGTCATCTTTGGTCTTCCTGAGCCTGCAGATGTATTGTCTCATCTCTGCCTTCATGTTCACACGACATTCTCCCTGTGCGTATGTCTCTATATCAAAACTCTCCCTTTGTATATGAACACTAGCCATGTTGGATTAGAGCTCACACTGGTGACCTCGTTTTAACTTCATGACCTCTGTAATGACCCTATTTCCAAATAAGGTCACATTCGGAGGTACTGGGGGTTAGGGCTTCAACATAACTGTTTCTAGGGAAACAATTCAACCCACAACATTCATGAAACTAGAACACAGATCAAGAAACAATCCATCTACCTGACGTCCCCATTCGGCTATAACCCCTTGGCAAGGTTACCGCTCTCCTGATCTCACACACCATCGATAACCTTTTCTGTGTTCTTGAACTTCATGTAGATGGAGTCACACAAGATGTATTCTCTTGTGTCTGGCTGCTCTACCTCAAAGCTGTATCAGTGAGATCCATCCACGGTCTTGCATTGTTGTATGTAGCATTAGTTTACTCTTTTTTATTTTCATGTAATATTTAACAAGAGGAAAAATCATGTAATTTTTCCATTTTATTGTTGATAGATACTCAGGTTGTTTCCAGTTTTTACCTATCGTGAGTACAGTTGCTATGAAACTATACTCTGAATATGCTGCAATGAAAATTCTGGTACAAGCCCTTTGGTGGGCACATGCACACCACCTCCACTGGGCATATGGAGTGGACTTTCTGGGTCACAGGACAGCCACATGTTTGGCTTTAGTAGATGCTTCCAAACAGTTTTCCAAAGTGGTTTCCAGCAGTGTATGAAAATTTTGGTTGTTCCACGTCCTCACCAGCACTTTGGGTTGACTTGGACAAAATTTTTTTGATGAGATGATAATGATGATGATAACAGTTTCTCATTAAATTTATTATGAAAAGCACTCATTGGGCTGGTTATTTGACTTATATTATCTCACTTAATCTTTAAACTACTTTTCTAGGGCGCTATTAGCTTCATTTTACAGACAAACACAATTAAGCACCAGTGAGATTACATAATTTGCCCAGAGTAACTGTAAGTAGCAATGTAAACTTTGAATCCAAATTGGTCTGATCACCCACGTTGGAGACTTTGTAGTCCAGATAAAATGTAAGTCTGGTGGCTATGGAGGTGAAGGGAAGCCCTGGGCATCACGTGCAGCAGGAGGGGATTGGCATGGCTACTGCAGAGGGGCACACTTAGCAGCAAGAGGCAAACACAGCTCTACATCTCTACCTGAAGGTTAGTTGGTGCCACCCTATTTTGGGGACATAAACTTGAGCATCTGTTACTAGGGTCAGCTTCAGATATTTCCCGATGGATGATTATTTTGAGGACTGATTCTGAGAAGAGATGGGTATGCTTGATATTTTTAATAGAGTGATGTAAAGCAGTTTTAGAATAGACAGTTAGAGCAAGAGATCAGGTCTGGGATTAAGGAAAAGTATCCCTAACAGCAGGTCTGTGGCACTGTTCTGACCACCGATGACTCCTAAACCCTTCAGCCCTCATTCCCAGCCCAGCGTCCAGGTAATGCCACGAATACCTACCCTCAAGAACACAGTAGTCCACTATTATCTTGCTCTGCTTTGAGTCAAGCACTGTGCTGGTTTCTTCCAGATACATCATCTTAGTCTTCACAGTTACCTTGAGAGAGAAATAAATTTCTATTATCCCCAAGTTACAGGTGTGGGAACTGAGCTCAGTGGGGTTTTAAGAAACCTGTCTGAGGTTACTCAAAGGGAGAAACAAACAGCACAGCAGTCCCATTCTAACAGAGGATGGAGAAGGGGGAAGTCTGGTCCCTCCTGAATTATGAATTGTGTCTTTAAGGAATCTATGGAAGGATATGCTCACTTGAAACAAAAAGAAAGATGGCAACAAAAGAACACTGAATGTTTTTCTGCTGAACTGGTGAAAGCATGTTCTGGAAAATGAAAACTTCAGAAAGAAAACTCTGGTATTGTGGGCCAGCAATTCTTATCAATGAACCATACAATGAGTGGGCCCAGGGACTCATCTCCTATAAAAGTATCACATTTGTAAGGTTCTAATCAATTCCAATATTGTCATCTTCAAGTTTTGTGACTGTGCAATTACTTTAGAAAGTATAAAGTTTCCACTTTAATTGGCACTTGGCTTATTTGTTTCTTATTGGTTTGGTTTTAAACTCAAGTTAAAATAAACAGCTGGTTTAAATTCAAGGTAAAACTCTGTCCTGGTTTCAGGAAACCTGTGCATTTTTTCCCTCTATATTTTAATCAGTAGTTGGTTTAACTGAGCAGGTACAGACACAGGTGTCCCAGGTGCGTGTATGCTTTGCCTACATTACAACCTAAGCACTGTAGCCAGAGCGGAGCGGGAGCCAATTAGGAAAGAGCAATGGGCTCACACTCTGGGCGTAATTCACACCCAAGGCTGATGCTCACCCAGATTCACTGGGTCTGGCCTGACTTCCCATCGGAGAAACAACCAAAGAGGACAGGAAACATAACACATGCAACTCCCTGCTTCCATTACAAGGACTCACTAAGCAATCAGAGCTCGTCCCCCAACACCCTAAGGCTCTTCAAGTACTACTACACAGGGGCCAGTCTTCCAGAACCAGTGGGCATGCTTAGCACCTACACCAGCCCATTCTGGAGAGAGAGGGAGTGCAGTCTGGGGACTGGAATGCCCTCTGCCTGCTCCAGCACAGAAATGTGCTGCTGGCATTCGCAGAGACAAGCAAATGATGTGGTATGTGTGTTCTTAATCTCTATTTTAATGTCTCCAACAATCTAGTGGTTAATTAGCAATTTGCTGCCCACCAATATGCAAATGAATGACAAGCAAAAGCCCTCCGCATCTGTAATTATTTTGCTGATTTACAAGCCACTCTCCTCTCTGTGTAGGTTTTTCTGTGTGTGCATTCATGCATCAGGGATTTCATTATTTTTAGAAGCATACTCTGTACATTTTTATGCTTTAATATTTTCAGGCTTCAGTAATTACAGTATTATGGATATAGATACATATTCTCCCCCCTCAGCTCCAAATGCATTTATTTGTCAGGAATTCTTTTTCTTTGATAAAGAGTGGAGAGTAAGATTTATCAAGGGGCTGAAATCCAAATTGCAAAGAGAGAGCACAAGATTGAAAGATGCATGTTTCTGCTGCTGCCAAATCCTTATCTGGAATCGGAGGAGTCTTGTAATATTTGATTTTCTCCCAAGCAGCTCTGGTGAATCGAGCCACGATCTGCATTATCCATCTGCCTACTTTGGAGCAGGGTGTTTTACTATTTGGCGGTTTAAATGCTTTACGTTTTTGCCAGCGCATTAAGAAAGGCTCTCATGTTAAATTAAGTCAATTAATAAATGGAGACACATTAAGCAATCAATTTTGTCAGCCTATCTCCCCAGCATTATGTATGGTTGGCTGTAATCACAAGATAAATGCAATGTGCTGATCTATGGTAATGTTCAATAATACATTCTCCGCCAGGCTCAATTCATCAGGGAGTTTCGGTAGGGGAGGCATTTGTTATTGGCTGTCTCTGCACCTCAAGGATAACATTTCTGTCCTTTTGATTGGCCGCCTCACTGCTGCAAGATTCTAACCGTCTTATTTTGATGATGAATATGAAGGCACGCTAAGCCGGGCTGGAGCATAGTGTCTCAGATTCTGCGCTCCTTCCAGAGCCCAAGGACTTACAGCTTCCTCCGCTGCCTTCCTGTGCCAACAACCCCCCAAAAAGTTGTGATGCTTTTCTTCACCCAGTGCTTTGGGGCTGTGTTAGATCTCATTCACCTCCGCTTTCAGCACTACAAGGCTAAACGGGTGTTCTCCGCCGCTGGGCAACTTGTCTGCGTTGTAAACCCCACACACAACCTAAAGGTGAGTCGCTCTCTGTCCTTTGATGTGCACGCGGCTGGGGATCAAGTCCTTCCTCCAGGGGCATCAGCGACCCTGACCCTCCCGCGAGCGAGTGGAGCTCAGGGCAAAGGCTTGCTGGCGGGTGCCAGGACAGTAGGGTACCCAGAGCCAGTGCCTTGCTCATTCTCTTGGTGGCTGGACGCTCTCGGTGACAGTGTGATGTTTCCCTGCCTGGCAACTACAGTGAGAGTGTTGTTTCTTTTCCCTAAGCTGTCAGCCTAGCAGTGGGGTGGGGGTCAGAAGTGAGGGTGGTGGAGGGAGTAGGGGTGTCCCCCTCTCTCTCCCAAATATTTGTGAGCAAGTGTTTAGGAGACAGGATTTGAAAAGTTACCCAAACTGCAGTCTGTCCGTGTGCTGGAAAGGCAGGCAAGCACATGGATTTAGGATGCCCCTCTGGCTGCACTGAAGCAGCTGCGGTCGGTCGGTGGGGGGCCAGAAACCCCGAGGCAGGGATCTGGGAGTTGGGGAGGGGGCTTCTTCTGCAAAGTGTTTTTCCTTGTGCTCAGACTCCCAGTGAGTGTGGGGGTTGGGGATGGGTGAGGAGGAGTTTGTCTTCTTTCCTTCCTGCGAGCTAGATGCGCCTGGTGCTCTGAGGACAGGAGGAGGCAGAGCTGCTTCTATGGTATCATAATGAAACTGGCTCGGAGCGGCTGCTGCCTGAATCACTCACCGCGGGCGCTGCGGGTGCCTTGCTGCTGGGGCCACTGGGCTACGCGTCTGGCGCCGCTGCCTCTGCGTTTGTGCCTTCAGGTCAATGCCCTTTCAGAGAACAGCCAAAACAGGGGATGGGGGATCGCTCTACATCACAGCCAGGACTGAGGGGGAAATGAATGAAGAGTCACTGGCTTGGGGTGGCAGAGAAGATGGGAAGGCAGGGTGGTAGAGGGAGGTGGGAAGGCGCAGCTGAAATCCCCCAATGTGAAAGTCTGAGCCGACTGGCTCTGTCCCAAAATAAAGGATGGACTCCTTGAGAGTTGCATTCCTGTCCTCATTATCCCCAAGGCTGAGTGACGGGGGAAGGGCACGTCTGCTGCTGAGCAACAGAACAGCCTCTGCAAGAATAGATTTTTCATTCTGACCACTGCTGTTGGGCAGGAAGTGTTGCTTGTTGGTCATCACTTTATAAACTCCTAGAGTCAGACTCTCTTCAGCTGGAGCCCTGAAGGCCAGTGCTGATGGGTGACTCCACCACCCCCTCAATTCCTGGAAGTCCCCAGGGGGGAAAGCTGCCTGGCGCCCCTGGGGCCATTCACCAAGGCCAGTCCTGAGTGGAGGGCTGAGGGACGACCCGGGGATCGCTATGCTGCTCCTGATCTAGGACCTGGCTTTCTGTGGTACCCAAGCTGTGATAACACCATCTCACTCAACCGCTCCCCCTCCTCCCTCTCTCTCTCTCTCTCCTTTCCCCCCTCATTCCCTCATTTCTTTTTCCTTTCATGGCTCAGTTTTATAAATGAGAATTCCCCTCCCCGCCCTAGTCATCCTTGGTAAAGCAAGTGTATGATGTACATATTAAAATACGATTCTGAATTCCATTTTATGGCCACTTTTGAAACCGCATTCAAACTCCCGTTATTTTGTCACTTTACATTAGTTAGTTCCCTGTGGCAAGAAATTTTGTTTATTCCTGTTTTGCATTTTAAAACCTTTCCATGTTGTTTGTGAGGCTTAGCATTTTCAAAGTTTGAAAGTATATGGTTCATGGGCTGCAGCTGATGATGGCAGGGGAGACGGGTGCTAAGATCTAGCTGTGGGGGGCAGTGAAAAGCATCTGTGTGCATGTTTCAGTGATGTCAGCCTGGATGCTGATAGGCAGTCCTGCCACCCAGACCCAGGAGTCCAAAGTCAGTGTTGGAGTCTTTGGGTCGGCACTGACCAGCTGCATGACGTGACCTTGAATGACTCAACCTCTCTGAGCCCTCCCTTCCTGACCTTCCAAATGGACGTATGAATCTCTATCCTGCCTCCTCCATGGCTCTGTGAGGCTGAAAAGAGATACTCGAGGTAGCTGTGCCTTTTAACAGCCTCCTTGAAAACAAATTATGTTATTGCACAGAATTTGTAGGGTTCCAGGAGGAACTTCAAAAGTTATCACTTAAAGCCTTCAGCCAACTGAGAAACCATATAAGCAGTAACACAAAAATAAGTGACATATGTTCGAAGGGGCTATTTTCCATGGCTCACTTTTTCACACACATCCTCATTTGACTTTCCATTTCCCATAAAAAGCCACTTAGAGATTTTGCTCAGATGAGTGTCACTGCAGGTAAACAAATCAAATCGAGCGCTGCTATTATCACCAGCAGGACACTCAGGATTTACAGAGGCTGTGCCAGGCAGGGAGAAACCTCTGCAGCCCAGGTTGCCTCTGGAGGGCTCATCCAGGCTCCAAGTGGCTCATCAGATGAGTTTGACCTGCTTCTCAAACCTGAGGGCCAACAGCCACTTGCAGAACTCTTAAAGGAACCATCCTATAGAGGCACTGCTGCCCCATTACTTATATGAAAAAGGGCATAAAACCTGAAAAGAAAAGCGCTCCTTCTAAGCACTCCTTTCCATAGACAGATCATGGAAATAAGCCTTGGATGTAATGAGCTGTGATCCACACAGGGAGAAAATGTCTTTTTTTAAAGGAAAAAAAAAAAAGAAAAGCCATGGCAATGTTAACCCAGAATAGCTATTGATCTGCGGTGCTTCCCCGCATTTTGTATGACAGGCTAGTACATGAAATGGTGACTGAGGACAGAGCGACTGCAACCTTGCTTTCAATTTCCCAGGTTGCATGTAGCTACAAAGAAGGCTGGGAAGCCTGTGTTTTCCTTTGTGGAAGCATTTTTGCACTTTGTCCTTTCCTGGGCCTTCCTGAGAATGCTAGCAGTACTTCAGGACCTGAGGCAAGTGCTGAGTTATAATCAAAATTCACTTACTGAGCAGAGAAAACCATGTATTTACCATGCTTCTGGAGGTCACCTTCATTTTCAATCTTATTATGGCGATTACACAGTAACCTGGGATTCCTTCAAGCAAGCTGATGCCTGTCCTTCTAAACGGCAGGCAGGGGCTTTCCCTGGGGAATGCAGACACCCTGGGTAAAGCCGCCGCACTCCTTCAGCCCACCCTAATTAAAAGGGGCATTTAGACTAGCTGGCCTGGAGCAGGAGAGACTTCTGCTTCCCAGAGAGGAAGACTCTGTATCGGAGCCATCTCTATGGACGTCAAGTGGCACGCTGTGTTGTCCTGTGTCTGTTTGTCTCTACCTGTAGGATGGCTCCTTGAAGGGATTGGGGTTCTGCCCCCCTGGTCTTCTAATGCCCCCCACTTCTTCTCCCCACCCCACAAAAAGTGACCAGAAAGGAGCTGGTGATCTTGGCTGGCTGCCCTCTGCTTCCTCGTTCACGGAGGTCACTGAAGTGTGGCCTGTGGGTTTCAGGCTGGCACCAGGAGGGCTCTGGCTCCTGGTCCTGATTTAGCACTGCTTTCTCCCTCGTGTCTTTTGCTTGGTTCCAAACCAAGAAAGACTTTCTCTCCTGGCTTCTCTCCCATCGACACTAGCTGCTTGTCCAATGCCCTGCCCCGGGCAGCCCTCTCTTCTTCTGCCCCATCTTTGAGGATGGACTAGCCAGTCTCTGCACCCAGGCCTCTTGGGGAAAGGGTCTGCAGTGACAGCCAGAGCCCCCATGGGGCCAGTCCTCAGTGCTTCCCAAGCAGACATCACTAAGCTGAAATTGGCTGGGCCACTTCCTCCCTTAACCACAGCACTTAATAAACCAGTTTTTGAAAGAAGTCTAGCAAAACGCTTTCTGGCAAACTTCCGAAAGGCCCTTAGCAAGGCCAGCATCATTGCTGAGACTCCCAGTGCCCTCCCTGGCATCCAGACCTGAGAGTGTAACCTCCCCACCTTTCCTGGGAGACTATTCATGCCTCCATCCAGTCGGTCCAATCCCCGGAGCTCTTTTCTATTGTAACCCGTTAACCTTGAGTTGACAAACAGACAGACATGTGCATACACATCATGCATACACACACAGTGGGAGAGGCATATGGGACAAACATGGCTTTAAGTGCCTGACAGATCCTAAATCTAAAATTAGTGCATTTTAGTACCATTACTTGAAGCATCTACATGCCTTTCATTCTAAGACCAACCTGTGCGGATGGATGTGTTGAGTGATGGTGGGGGTGGGGGTGGAACTGCATGGGGGAGGATGGAGATTATCAAAGGAGGGAACCCAGGAGAGACGGGTGGCAAAGGCAAACATCGCCTCTAGGTTCATGCGGTGATCTTTGGAAATCCTGTGCCCGCCCCAGGGCTTTCCTAACTCTGCTGGACACAGCGCAGCAGGCAGCTGAAGACCTGAATGTTGTTCTTAGAGATTTAGAAGTGGCCTTGGAGTGTTCAGCCTGAATACCTATTTTAAGGCAGTTAAAGTCTTCAAGATTGTTGAATAGGTCAGGTGTGGGTTACTCAGCTCTTCCCGGCACCGCCACCTTGGAGGGTCCCATCCCCAATCCTCTGGACATTTCACCATCTTCCTTCACTGCTCAGGCTGAAGGCTCCTCACAGCTAAATTAGCACCGTGGATGGAGCCAGGGAGAGAATGAGGGAGGGGCCGGAGCTGGTGGTGCTCCCTCTCTGAGTTCTATTCTACAGGCTTCCCCTTGCCGCCTCCTTCAGCCCTTTGGTTTCTGTGAATACTGAATGATGCTTGACTCTGCAGGCACAGAGCAGTCATGCGGCTTTTCTGGTTAATGGTGATTGCAAATGAGGCTCCCGAGTCACATAACTCGGGGCAGAGTCCCGAGCAGTCATTTGGTGAGCGGTGTGCTGGTGATGGAATCACAGAGGAGGCTGAAGCTGGAGATGAGGCGAGCCCACTACCTCCCGCATCCAGTGGCCCCAGAGGACATTTTGTGGAACTCCCTTCACCACTGTCCCTCCAGCTGAAGGGACTGATCCAAAG